TGGTGAAACTATTAAATACAATCCAGTAAAGATTTTATAACCACGCACATGAAAACAATTCTCACTTGCAACAATTATTGGCTTTAATATCATATCGCATAGCAATTATTATTAACCTCTAATTTCTCCGATTTCTCTGGTGCCATCACATTAAGATACCGTACCTTTATATAACGGTACTCTTGTTAATTTACATCCTACAAGATATATCGGAACCATAGCTTCATTTTATATGTTGAAAAGTGTTGATACGAACTGCTCTCAATACCTTATAATACTTAACAGAACATACTTTAGTTTACGTGCATGTACGTATTAAGCAATCATAACATAGCTCAAATACAATATCATGTAAAATAATTTGAAGTATAAACATACCTTTAATCGTTTTACCCGAGACCATTGAATTGAACGTGTCTAGGTTATGTGATGTTTGAGTGGTGGAAAGGTTGTCCTGTTGTAATTTACCCCACAACCTCAGCATATCTTCTTGAGGTGGCGTGGTCCCCCTGACAGTCATAGCTTGGTGATTGAGGGGCGACCTGTGTGCAGAAAAATACAAACTACATGATACTATAAAAGGCTTTGAAATAATGCATGACATACACGGAGATCATTGTAAATCACAGAGAGTACAATAACGGGTGATGTGAAGGATAAACAATACGTTAAACATTAACCCTCAGGAAATTGATTTAATTGAGATTGTTAAACTGATTATACACTGTACACCTCATTCCCCCTTATAATTCATATTCGTACAGTGTTGATTTCGTTATACTCTTGGAATAAATATTATATATGGTATTTGCTGGCATAATTAACTCGCAGTCATTAAGTCATTATATGAATAGAAAAAGCCGGAAGTTTAATTGGGGAGAAATTTCACTTCGTCATGTTCTTCTAAAAAGTCAATTTATTTATTTAACTTTAAAATGAAACATAAAAGCTAATTGTGTTCAAAATGAAACACGTAAACCACGATTATTATCAAATACATACCACACAATGGTTTCTGTAATAAACACAGTTGTTAGTGTATATACAAGTATGAGTGGTATACTTACAATGTTTGAAGATATCTACACACGCCTTTCCTTGTCGATGAGCTCATGTGTCTCAATACGTTACTGGCGTTCATGGTGTGTATTTGTCTGGGCTGATCACTTACATTATGTACAAATGTGTATACTTGTAACAAAATGTAGACGAATGGTTTAGCGCATGAGATATTCTGTTTTATAACTGAATAATAATGATAGAAAATTCCAGGGTTACTATCGTACGATCCTGTGTGACGGGATTAGTAGGGGAAGATATTTGACTATTTTAACTAACCGTGATAGGTCGGGAAAACCAACAAACCCGGAAAACCCGAGAAAACAAATATTATTAGAATTTCATAAGGTTGCGATTAGTTTGATTAAAGTAATAAATACAAAGCAGGTGGTTTAAAATGAATTTTTTTATTTACTATCAAGGTTTTACTTTCTACACAAACAATGTACGTATTAAAAAAGACACATGATTACTATGTACATTGTGTAGAAAGTCAAACTTTGATATCACATATTTCCAAATAGATGAATCTTGTTGAAGACGTTATATTTACTTTTTTGATTTTTCCTTTCTATATTTAGATTACACGCGTGGACAAACTAATTATAGCATACCAACATTCCTGATATTATTTATACTATTATATTTTTGTTTTTTGTGTAGCGCTACCTATATTTTACTTGATTTGATAACAGAGAAAATGCATTTTATATCATGATCAAATATTTATATTATTATAATATTATGCTATTATAATATATCAAAAACTTCATTAATTCATCAAGTCCGAAAGGAGAAGTGATTTTATGTCATGGCGAAAAAAACAATCTCTACTCCGGAATTTCTATAAAGTCAGTGGTAACCATACCTGCTACAAATTATACTCTCCTGGTCCTAAACAGGTTTGAATTAAGTCACTGTTAACCGTACCTGTTACAAATCATACTCTCCTGGTCCTAAACAGGTTTCTATTAAGTCAGTGGTAACCATACATGCTACAAATTCTACTCTCCTGGTCCTAAACAGGTTTCTTTTAAGTCGCTGTTAACCATACCTGTTACCAATTATACTCTCCTGGTCCTAAACAGGTTTCTATTAAGTCAGTGTTAACCATATCTGTTACCAATTATACTCTCCTGGTCCTAAACAGGTTTCTATTAAGTCAGTGGTAACCATACCTGCTACAAATTATACTCTCCTGGTCCTAAACAGGTTTGAATTAAGTCACTGTTAACCGTACCTGTTACAAATTATACTCTCCTGGTCCTTAACAGATTTCTATTAAGTCACTGTTAACCATATCTGTTACAAACTATACTCTCCTGGTCCTAAACACGTTTCTATTAAGTCAGTGTTAACCATACCTGTTACAAATTATACTCTCCTGGTCCTAAACAGGTTTCTATTAAGTCAGTGTTAACCATATCTGTTACCAATTATACTCTCCTGGTCCTAAACAGGTTTCTATTAAGTCACTGTTAACCATACCTGTTACAAATTATACTATCATGGTCCTAAACAGGTTTCTATTAAGTCCGTGTTAACCATATCTGTTACCAATTATACTCTCCTGGTCCTAAACAGGTTTCTATTAAGTCAGTGTTAACCATATCTGTTACCAATTATACTCTCCTGGTCCTAAACAGATTTCTATCAAGTCACTGTTAACCATACCTGTTACAAATTATCCTCTCCTGGTCCTAAACACGTTTCTATTAAGTCAGTGTTAACCATACCTGTTACCAATTAGACTCTCCTGGTCCTAAACAGGTTTGAATTAAGTCACTGTTAACCGTACCTGTTACAAATTATACTCTCCTGGTCCTAAACAGATTTATATCAAGTCACTGTTAACCATACCTGTTACAAATTATACTCTCCTGGTCCTAAACAGATTTATATAAAGTCACTGTTAACCATACCAGTTACAAGTTTTGCTCTCCTGGTCCTAAACACGTTTCTATTAAGGCAGTGTTAACCATACCTGTTACAGATTATACTCTCCTGGTTCTTAACACGTTTCTATTAAGTCAGTGTTAACCATACCTGTTACCAATTATACTCTCCTGGTTCTTAACAGGTTTCTATTAAGTCAGTGTTAACCATACCTGTTACAAATTATACTCTCCTGGTCCTAAACAGGTTTTATCGGTGTTGGTTAACAATATGTAATCGACATGATACTGATATATTGGTTATGTTATGTAATATTAAGTTGACATTTTTTTATGTTACAAAACAGGAAGTGCCTTTGAGTTTAATCGCCTACAAAAGAACATGACTCTGGCCTGTAAATTGATATCATGAAACCAATGAATGTTTTGAATGAAACTTGAGATACAGAGTACTGCTATTGAACTTATAGCTTACCTGCTTACCAGTACTTATCTTACCAGTGCTAAGCTTTTATCTGAAATTTTTATAACTAAGTGGTATCCTTCTGCTTCTACAAAGGTTTAGACCCATTCGGCGTTCAATCGTTATGATCCCTAGCATCACCGCTGAGTCCTAAGAGAACAAAACATCTGTATGGTGCATTGTTATTCTTTTGTTGGTATACTGTATGAATTATCTAATTTTACAGGTGCAAATTCAAGTTAGTCAGACACAAATATACACCAGAATGTGCCAAAATTAGCATGATATTAAGGTCAGAATTGATACGAAAATATTATAACAGAAACTGAATCGACACATTACAAGAGGCAGAAACTAAACTATTTTGTTGATTTATTTAATTATACTCGTAGAGGTAATTGGTGAGTGAAGCTAACACTATTTTACGTTTATGATATCTTTTTTATATATGTTTAACATAGAAACGGCAGAATATAATTTTCACATCGTGTGCATCTTTTTTCTCACAGAGGCAAACTATACAGACTCTACACGAGTTTACTGTCCACCTATTTGCCATGTGTACGTGCTAAATCTATGTCAGTTTATAAAGGTCCTGATGTATTACACAATTGAAATGTAGCTATATACAGCAACCATACAACCAGAAGTTTTTGTAGACAATAATTCAAGACAGAAGATTTTTTCTGCTTTGAATTACAACATTCAGGCTTGTATTCCATTAACTCCTTCGAGTAAAACTGAAACACATTTAGGACTAATATCGGCCAAATCAGTTGTTTCTACTTTGTAATTCCGTTAATTAATCTAATTAATATACACTTTTAGGATTCTGAGTCGTAGTCGAAACCTAGCACGACCATATATAAGATGTTTTCATTAGTCTGGAGTTATTAAATACTTTAATTTCAATGAAATTCCTTAACTTAACCAGTAATGAAATGGTAGTGTGAAGAAGTAGGTGATCAACTTTTCCCCTGTAACTTCCGCGAATAGATGGAACAGCGCGGGGTTTATTACACGAACGCGGGGCTATTTTTAGTAACAAGTAAAACTGGCTTTTTCATTAAAAGAAAATTGACTTCATAGTATCAATATAATTTGTATTCATCTCATAGATACAGTCAAAGTATTTAGTTTTCTTCTGAATGTTCATTACAGGAGAAAAGAACCTGATAGAAGTTATATTTACTTTCGATGAACTACCTTCCTATATTTAGATAACATGACACACATAGCAACACACGATAGTGGAAATCCCATAGTATATAAATACACATCTATTTTCTTTGTGGACGAAATGTTGTCTCTTTAAATTTTACTTCAGCAAAAATGGAGAATATTTATTGATATTAAAATCATTATCGATATATATGATAACACGTTCGGTTAGTCTGGAATATGATTATCAAAAACATTAACTTGATAGTGTATTTCCGATTTAGCATTGCGAAATCAATGACATGCACTGAATTAAACAATGTCTGATTTTGTAAATATTAGGCATTAATAAAATTGTTTCGTCTTTTAATTTACAAAACATACCTTAGCAACTGCCTGTTATTGCCGTTTATACAATTTAAGATATTCCTAAAACAACTCCTTATGTAACGCGTTGTAAACAAACCATAAACTTTCAGACGGAAACTAGAAATTAAATTTTATAAAAAACTTAAGCACAATCCTAACAATTAGTCAGTGTATTTGTTAACGACCAACATTTGCTTAGAACAAGAAACAAGAACAAAATAATTATTTTGTTTTCATGTTGTTTTATTTGATATTTATGATTCCACAATTCTGGATGCATTTTACAATTTTTCAACAGAACATATAATTAACAAACGTATATCACAATAAAATAGGATAGATAATTTGGTTTTTCTAAACCAAACTGTTTTTCTGAAATATTCATACTACAATTGTCACAGTTTACGAACATGCGTTCCAGAATGTGAATTTCAGAAATTTTGTTCACCTACACTTAATATTGCTTAAAAAAATGCAATTTTACAGTTCAGGATGATTTATTTATCCTGTTTCAAATAATTAATATTATGAATAATTTGCAAACAACTTTAAATCTCTTTTTGAGGAGTTCTTTGGTTTTACCCAGCGCTCCGGATTTAAATCTCTCTTTGAAGAGTTCTTTGGTTTTACCCAGCGCTCCGGATTTAAATCCCTCTATGAGGAGTTCTTTGGTTTTACCCAGCGGTCTGGAATTAAATCTTTCTTTGAGGAGTTCTTTGGTTTTACCCAGCAGTCCGGATTTAAATCTCTCTTTAAGGAGTTCTTTGGTTTTACCCAGCGGTCTGGATTTAAATCTCTCTTTGATGAGTTCTTTGGTTTTACAAAGCGGTCCGGATTTAAATCTCTCTTTGAGGAGTTCTTTGGTTTTACCCAGCGGTCTGGATTTAAATCTCTCTTTGAGGAGTTCTTTGGTTTTACCCAGCGGTCCGGATTTAAATCTCTCTTTGAGGAGTTCTTTGGTTTTCTTTACACCGCAGCATAGTGAAGTCTTTATCTATAAATAGGTCAACTCAATTCTATTTATAAAATGTGGTTTTTAAATGCGACATATGTGTTTTTTCCGGTACGAAATTACATTCACTTTGAAAGTTGAGTAATCTGCGAATGAGTTCTGTTCTAAATTTAGATAAACACAGAGCTGGGACGGGTTCATTGTGAGAGTTTAATCTGCGTAGTAGCCTATCGGAGACAAAACAAATGAAATAAACTGAAAGAAAAAGACACCTTTTCTTCATTGATAACACCCAAAACTGGTTATTTTATTCAAGTCAAAATAACGTATTGATTTCAAATTTTTGATTGGTGTAGTATTCATCTATTCACAATTTTTAACAGTTATAATGTTTCTGTTTCATTGGTATCATATAGTATGTCAAACTAACGATAAATATGAAATTATATCATGATATTTTAGTCTTGATGTGAGTAACATGTAAGAGAGATCAGATAAACGATATTAGACAGAAGAAAATTATTTGAAACTATGAAACGTATTACTGGGAAATATATGTGAATGGTAACAGATCCCGACCCAAGTTTGAATTATGATTACAGATAAATAATAGGTAATATAGAACTACCGTAATAAAACAACATCTATTAATGGTCATTTTGTGTATTACACAAGTATTAATACAACCTACAGTTAAACCCATTGTCAACGTGCTATTCCCTGGCTACCTCTGCCTGTCCTAACTCCCCCTACTTGTCCTAGCTACTTCCTTCTGAGATAGCCATTGTTTTTGTTTTTGTCTTGAATACAATTTCTAACTTAGATCATCCTCCTAAGTTGTGCATAGTGTTGTCTACGGAGTATATGACCGATACTTAAGAGAATATTATTTGTACATTGCCTCGATTCCATGTGACCAGGAAGCTCAGTGGTCCAGTGTTCAGCGCTTCGCCTCTTATTTCAGTGTGGCGAATTACGGTTTACACCATGTTACAAGGACGAGTGTGATGGCATTCTCAACGAAAACATACAAATACGAAAACAAAGAACTAAAAGAACAAAAAGGAATCTTGAAATGTAAACAAACATGTGATCCAAACTTAAAATCGGTAAAACTAGCGCATAATATGAACAAAATATATCAACACTGAGACCCTTGCAGAATGTACCAGGGGAATAATACCAGATGTTTCGGACCGTTAGACATCCTCTCTTTCGTCGACGGCATCCACCATTTTGCCAATTATATTTATAATATAACTAGTGTTGTTGAATTTGTAAAACAGCTTATCCAAAACACAGAGCTATACTAGAACGAGGCGTGATGATTGATATCACATCGACTTGCAAACTTTCATGTCAAATAGTTTTACTTAAAAGCTAGTGTTTCTATAATTTACTTATTTATTTGATTTTTTATTCATATTATTTAATCTACTTGTCTTTCTTTATTTTATAAACTGGACATGTTGTCAAGCTATGTAGTTATGACACATACTTTTAAATGTCTCTCTCATTTTGTCAGTAAGGAAGTAATTCGTTTCCGTCGTAAGGCGTGCTAACGTTTAAAATCAGTGAAAATATGGCTGTGTACAATATTAAACAACAACGACTCCCCATACAATCGACATTAAGAGGAGATATATTTAGCCCCGAACTTTAACCTATTATATAGGGTTTCATCACAACACAGTCCGAGTAAAACGGTTAGGTTTTGTTAACTTAACCAGCCATTCACATGCATTTTTCTAGTATAATTTCTGTGAAATATCTTTAAACAAAACATTCTTTGTATTTCTTCCCTTTAAACATTATTTTAAGCACTCTGAATATGATGTTTAAGACTGAATGATTTTTCCACAAATTATTTAGGATAAAACATTGTTGTTTACTAGTCGTTAAGCTAACAAGGCAATACTTTAAACATAAGCGGGATCATCAACGCTATTGACAATGAGCTATTACACTAATAAGTTACATAAACATGTATCTTTTGATTGTTAGACGGATTTGGTGTATATTTAACATTTAACAGAAAAATAACAGGACTGGAAGCAAACCAGGCCAATCTTGGTCATCCTCGGATTTAACAACAAAGAATAAGGAAATTGTTTAGTTAATATTTATTACATTTTTGTTTACTAAAAATACAAAATCACAATCAAATAAGAAAAAAATATCACAACCCTAACATCAACTTAATCCATGTTGACATCAACATGTCAACATTCATCATATTATCATCACTACAATCAAAAGCGAACTATTTAAGTATGGTTAGCTGCACAGCAAATTTAGAAAGTTATGGAGTAACCAGTAAAGCAATGTCATAATATTTTTAGATGGCGTAATTATAAAAGTAGGCAGTCATTTCTGACTTAACTTAATAAGGTCTGGATTTAGGAAACGTTTTCGGTTCTGTTATTCCGTTGATATAAATAGTGATAATTTATTTTGAAATTAACGTTTTCCATTTCATCTTTTTCATTTTAAAATTTGCATTTAGCGTTCATTGTTAAGATTCACAAAATTGCAAAAATTGGTTCAATTTATATGCTAAAATATGTTCGTTATTTTATATTAATTTGATTTACAGTTTTTGTATCAATTTTTTCAAAATCTTTCAATAATAACAAATTCCCTTTACATATTTTACAAGAAGTTAATCTCAGCATTAATCATTAACAGTCTTCCAACATTTACACTCAAATAATTTACGTTTAATATTAAAAAACACATTCATCATTACTTAATTTTCATCACATATCATAAAACAAATTACTTTCAATGTTAAAAACATACAATCATCATTACTCCGTTTTCAACAAATATTAAATTATTTACGCCCAATACTTTAAAAACATTCATTATTACACGAAATTCATCAAATATCATACAAATGATATTTACTTTCAATCTATTCAGTACATTCATTATTACTAATCATGCATCATTTACCCAAAATAATTTACTCTCAGTACAATAGAATACACTCATTGCTACCAAACAAATGACTTACTACCCTAGAAGCAGAGCCGTCTTTTGTATTCGTGCATACCAGTTAGCTACATCATATAAATCAAATAGTATACCACACTCATGTTACTTATTATACCAAACAACCTTAATTTTCTCACAATATGACCCACCACATTAATGAACTTTTAATACGCCCTTCAGTTCTTTGTTTTTCATTGACGAGTCTCCCGTATGTATCACATTAGTTTTTAATCAAATTTGAATCCATTCAACAGTAATTTGACGCTGGACTGCACGTTCTCAGAATTCGAACTTTTCTCAAAAACGCCAAGATTTCTTGATCCTGAATTACAAAATAAAATACAATTCAGTATGAACTTAAAAAAAGTCAAAGTCAACATTTTCTGTGATTTATGTGTGGTAATCTACAATATTACCTAAGTATTACTGTTGCTGAACAGCATTTAACAGATATATAAGCAAAGTGTCATTAGCTAACAATAACTAAATGTCAGTATAGTTCAATCATAAAACCAAAAGAGCAGCAATCGATTATAAATTATGTACATATGTAGGAACGATTGGAGAAAATTCTACTGTATTTAAAGATATGCGATTGTTTATCATGACTATAATGAGTTTTACTGGTGACGGGGAGTTAATCGTGTTAACGTCATTTGATTCATTTAATATCTCGGCCTCATTTCAAAGTTCGTTTAACATTACCCCATCGCAACGCTATTCTTACAGTTAAAGTTAACTGCATTAAAGTTTTAAAACATATTTTTATTATAATTTGAATGTACATCAGAATAACTCGACTGCAAATATGAATAAATTGACTGTTCATAAGAATAATTTGACACTACCAACTGATAACGAAAACCTAAATATAAAAATATGTAATTACCTAATATACTTTTTTCAGCAAACATTGAGTTGAACGTATCCAGGGGCTGTGGTCTGATATGGCCTTGAGTAGTGACCCAACTGTCCTCTTGTAGTGTTTGCCACGCCCTCATCATACCCGCCGAGGGGGGCGGGGTCCCTGTGGTGGACGTAATGTGGTGATTGTGGGGCGCTCTGCAATAATGAAGAAAATAAATATTATAAATAAAGAAGAAATTATATGACAAATAAAAACAGATAGAAGCATGAAAACAATAAAGACAAAAAACACAGTTGTATTTGTGTTGTCTTACTCTCTTAAACATTTAAACTAAATCTGTTTTTTGTCTTTTGAACAACTGTAAACACTTTTTAAGAAAGTAATAAGGCTATAAAAGCAAGCGACACAACCGACTAAATAAGGTTAGTAAATGTGGTGACAAGAAATTTAATATCAGCGTATATTTTTAACAAAAAATCATTTATATCATATTAAGGACTAATATATATAAGTTCAGAAAATATATAAGATATCGTTATAGATTGATTTGATAATTTTATGAAAACATTAAATATAAAAACCTATACTTACATTGACTGTAAACCCCTTACTAATGTTCTCTGTGTATATTTGATGACAGGTCCAGACACCTTGTTTGATACAGCGTTCATGTTGTTTCTGGTAGTGCTCTGTTTAATCAGCGTTAATAAATGTGAATGATAACATTTTCTCTCTGTCGCTTTTATACAGTACTCTCTCGTGTGTCTATTAATAACCTGGAAGTTTGCTGCCTCCTCAGCTTTTCCGTATACTATAACATAAGTGGGCTGTCAATTACACACATAAAATTTCCATTCATTTGCATCTGTGATGTAATAGGTTTTCCCCTAACTGCTATTCATAGATTATGACGTTTAATCGATAATTGGAGTTGTTTTGTTTTAAAAATATGTGTGTTGAATGTAATAATAGTTTCGTATTGGCGAAAATTAATTAACAGAGGATCATTTCAAGGACTGTGGAGACTACACGTGCTATTTCTCCAACTGTTTTGTTTTGCTTTTATCAATCTCGTGTTCATATATCACTAGCATGACGCGGATGGTCGATACTTCCACCGAGATCTGCCCAAAAATAATTCATTTTCAATAAGATGTTCGACCCAAAAGTAAATAAGATTAACGCACTCTAGCCAGCAGGCCGATACTTATACAGAAAGTCAGACATGAATAATATTCAGGAGTTTCATGAATCAACAATAAGTGCATATCAACACATAAAGATGAAGACGTTGCTTTTCAAATTTTCACAATTTTAACTACAATACTAATAAAATGACTAGTGTTTTTATTTATTTTTCTCTTTTATTGTTGTCATCTTTACAATACATCTACAAAGTATATTTGTTAATACACAGACAAACCCATAGTCAATTAAATGATACAATATCTTACTTAATGCTAACACATCAGTACAAAATCCAAACTCATAGTCAATTCACAACTTTAATACATAACTCAATGCTAACTCATGAGTAAGAAAAGCAAAATCATTGTCGATTCGCAAATAAAATATCTTACTCGATGCAACACAAGTACAAAAACCAAACTCATATACAAATTCACTAACTCAATATCTAACTAAATGATAACCCACACCAGTACAAAACGACCAAACTCATAGGAATATCACAAACTCCATGGACATACACAAATACAAAACACAAACACTCACTTAATACACAATGCCTATTTCCGAACTCAATGGAAAATACAACAATACAACATATCAAGGGCTGAGCTCAAAGTCAATTTAATTCACAAGGACAAGATCCGAACGACAAGATACAAACTCAAATATAATACACCATGACAACAATCGACTTCGAAACCAAGATACAAACTTAATGTAGACAAAAAAAATTGCAAAAATTGTTTATATAGTGGTATTGGCTTGGTTTGAGTTATGTTTTGGTGGCGGAGGAAAACGTTATTTTCACTTGATTTTTATATATGTTAATATACAATTATTGACTTTTGTGCTGGTGAATATGATGTGATATGAACCTGAAAGAGTGGTATTGACCGATTCGATTAAAAGTCCATCATGATAATTTAGAATGATAATTACTTTCATGCATGTGCAGTGTGGTTTTGAGTGGTAGCAAGTGGACGGATGTGAACCATGGCGGAAGAAGTATCTTCTTTTGTTGGACCACGAGGTACTTAACTTAGAGGAATACAATTTCATCACAACGTAGGCTATCCTGACCTACAAGACACGGACTTCCTAACTTATGTGACATCCAATGAAGGCGCTACTGGTGTAAGGACTGCACCCATTGGGTGAATCTGACACCTAAACTGAAAAAACAGCGCTACATAAGGGGATAGCAATCTCAAGGAAGTCCGTCAACTGACAAACGCTTTGTTGTGTATTGTTAAATATATGTCATTGACATCAATACTATTAATAAAAATGATTTGCCTGATTCTAGTAACAAATACAGGAAAGACTTATGTAAGGAAAGCCTTATATGGTAGTAAAGACATTTCAGTGCAGAAACTGGTCAATTGGTTTGTTTGTTGTTTGTTTTACGCCCTTTTAACAGCGCTACGGTCATTCAAGAACGAGCCAGTGTTTGTGGTTAAGTAAAACACCAGGACAACCCTCGACCTCAAAATCAAGATACAAACTCAAATATCAAATACCAGGACAACACTAGACCTCAAAATCAAGATAGAAGCTCAAGGTTTTTTATCACGATTCTTTATGTATATATACTTAATGCAATTCCACACATGACGCTGCAGTCAGTGCATGTCTATTGCGTGAATCAACACGTGCATTTCAAACAAAAGGCCATTATTGTCTATAAAATATAATCAACACATATGTGTGGTGTCGAGTATTGCTTTGTGTTGATCGTTATTTAATTCATTAGTTATTAGCCTAGAGAAATGCAAATATTTCACGTGTATGTAACATAAAATACTGCAAGTATTTGCAGCTTGCCTAGTGTATTTTATCCAAACAAATAATTGAAAATACTACGTATTGTAAACGTAAAGTCACATTTCAAAATGTTTCATTAATTACTTTAATCTGTGTTATTATCACAGCCAGTCTTATATAATATAGCTACACAATATACCCCCATAGTGTATCAGAACTGTCAACGGTACATACAGTCTTATGTTTACCTTATACTCGGACATGGACACCAAGATACTGGCCATTCTGGTTGGAGCTCTAGTCAGCTGTAAACGTAAGTTTGAATGTTTTTCAGCCATGTCTGTTAGTTAATTGCCTGTTTGGTTCCTGTATCTTTACGTCTGTATTTGTTTGTTCGTTGACAGTCTATCTGTTATTGAAATATTTATGCATATTTGTCATTGCAAATAGCGAATAATCTTTGCCTTCACAAGGCTTTTGAACATATAATAATATTTTATATATACTTCTCTAATTCATTTAACTGATATATATGTTCACACACGTTGGATGACAATATTAGAAATTAAGGATTTGTTTATTTCAATAAATCGTTTTATTTAAGAGAAAACTAATCTCTTATACATTGTTGTAATATGTGTACTTCGTTCACACGAGTAGCTAAAAGTACGGTGAACCTCGTTGATCCAGCCCCACGAGTCAGATTTTCTCGATATCCACCAAAGGTTTTCGAAGACAAATACATTGTTGTCCTTTTAAAAGGCATTGTTCCAACCGATTCACTATCAGACTAAATTTGGCTGAAAACAAAGTAAGAATCGATGAAGTTCCAATATGCTATTGCTGTGTAGGAGAGAAAAACCCGTTATATATTATAAAGTAAAGAAGATTATCCAATAAAAAGGTTTGTCTAACAATTGGTTAGAAACACTATGGTGTCTAACATGACTATCCTTTTAAAATATTATCTTTGTAAAACGATAAGTTTCGCAATACAAGCATTACATTCATGTATCGGGTCACTTAACAAAACAAACCAAATTAACCCTATTTAAATGGAATATGTGTATAATGTGTATGTCTTTGTTACCATAGTGTGATGTACCTGTATTGTCAATAGTGTTACGTAGGTATGATATATGATTGGTAACACTATGTAACACTATATGGAACCATCGAGGAGGGTTAGTTCTACAACAATGTTTTAGATGGTTAGATCTTTCTGTATTCCGTATACTTAAGGAATGAAATATATTTTTTCAACATTCACGAGGTCATATTCCATGAATCTCGTTAGCGGTTCTTGGTAAATATGTCCCAAAAGCCAATATTGTTATGACCTCATGTGTTGAAAAAATATATTTCATTCTTTATATCTACATTTTTAATTGCTTTGAACTTTCCGGTGCAAGCGTATATAAAAGTAATACCGACAACAAAACAAACAGAATATAGTTCCATTTTCAAAATGTTATTTGTATAATTTACACAAGTTGGATATTATTATCATGTACCCTCTCTCTTAAAAACATCATTTGAGCTTTAACATTAAGCATATCATGATGTGATATGGTGCGTGCTGGATGGATATGGATTGGTCTGGAATATGGTCTATGCACAGCTAGAAGTATCACACGTACATCACAGCCAAATATAACGGACAAGTAAATGATAATACATTTTATAACAAATAACAAATAAAGGTCATGTGAATTATTGCAATGTTTCTAAAAATATTTACAAGAAAAGAATCGCAAGGTATTTTGTCTCTTTCTTTGCTTGTTTTTGTACTTGTATTGTCAAAATAACGTCCAGAAAGGAAGTTACAAGATATTTTTACTTTTTTTTCAGAGTATGCACTAAACGAGTTTTAATTTATCGGTGGTTTAGTACTGCAGGCTTTTTAATTTAATTAAGATAATTGTTTTGTTTATTTACCAATAATTTTATACAAATCTAACGTTCATGTATTAAAACGAGTAAGTAAACCATCTCTCCGAGCTGACCAGACACACACGGATCCTACAGGGAATAGAATAGCATTGTCTTGTACATTTGTCTAAATCTACGAGCATTGTTTAAGTGTAAACTTCCATTATGTGTTGGGATTTTTAAACATTAAATTATCATTTGAAATGTGCCAAATCTACTCAAATGTAGGAACTCGCAATATCAAAACAAANCTCGCAATATCAAAACAATTGTTTTAAAACATTTTTTATAAAAAGAAAAGTGTTGTAAACATGTTTTTACAGGCTTTTAAAATGTTACGTACTAAACATGTTAGACAACTCATCTCGTCATGTTTGGCATATTATTACGTCATAAGGAACAATTTGGTGACGTCATACATTTAAATCAAATGAAAACGAGTGCGGATTTTTTCTTTAATTGAACAATTGACAAAATTGATTAGTTTAGAACTTTTGGCGACTCATCTTGTGAAAAAGAAATCTGAGCTCGTATATCATATAGACAGAGACATTGTCATTGCATACAAGGATGTTACTTGTTGCTTGGCCATGTTGATCTTACCATTTCCTTGTGATTCCAGAAAATTTCTACTTACGTGATAGATGTGTTATTCAATACAACAGTGATAAACACTATCAGATCACGTGGGTTTTCCTCTGGTTAATCATGGTTCCTCATACAAATAAGACTCCCATATGCTCGACTAATATAGGTTGACAAAGCTTGTTTCGTGGTTTTAAAATGATTGGAGATTTTTAATTTACTTTCCACTGAAAATGGTCTTTTTCAGTTGCTAAGGGAGAC